AAAATTTGACTTTAAATGGTTAGTAACTCAATTCTAAAACAATGCTATAGAATAAATGTAGACCACTTAGCTAGCATCTATAACATGCAAAACAATTTACTGTATAAGTAAAAAAAAATGATATCAAAAATTAGAAAAGAAAAAAAAGATAACAACCTCAGAATAGGGCTGTCGTCCTATTATATTATTGAAATGGTTTGTTTATTCATCTACAGGAGGTACTCCAAGTCCAGCAATATTGAGAGCCAGACATGCACTAGACCATCCGAACATTCCATGGTAAGTCAAAAACAAGTTTAAGTTAATTTTTAAATTTAAAGCATATTTAAATGGTTTTATCTTCCAAACTATTTGGCTAATTCTGTTCAAACATGGTTTATAACATTTGTAGAAAGAAAATTGTTTGTGATAGATCTACATGCTCTTCAATCCTTGCTGGTTTTTTAATGTTATGTTGCAGGCAGCTGAGATATGTAGGTCAGTCAGAGGTGGGTGATAAAAACAGAAGTACACTCGTAAGAAGTTGTATAGATTGTGCTACATCAGATAATTTATCTAGTTTTCTTGTTGAAATGGGATTCAGGTAATTAAAAATGTCTCCATTTTTTTCTAAGCTGTTTGAAAATTTGTAAATTTTCATTAGGATTTCAATGTAATTTGTGGGATCAGACTATCAGTGTATGTCAAAAGAAGGAAAAAAAACCTGTTGCTATTGTTAAGTGTTTTGTGCTTTGCATGAAAACTATTGAGGTACTCACATATACTAAACCAATTTTTCAGACTTGATCATGAGTATGTGATAAAAGGTTATCTCTTTAGAAAAGGAAGAATGAAGATAACTGTGTCAAAGCTGTTCAGGGTAAGACATTATAAACCAGTTAGCTCAGCATCAACAGTCTGTATGGGTTTCTGTTTTATGTGATGCTGGTGTCTGAGTACATTATCACATCCACCATCATGTTAATCCAATAAACTGTATGTGGGTTTTAGTGTCATACACATGTACCAGTGTCTTTGTACATTATCACATCCACCATCTTCTTCATCCTAGTTCATACTTACCTGTAGTTATTCTATAATCACTGAAATAGTCATCCAAATATCTTATCATGCCTTGGCAGGTAATGTCCCACATGTCATTAAGTGTGTTGTGTCAGTACCAGCAATAAATAGTATCATTATCACAAATAATGAAAAATAAAAAAGGATGGCATTGGGGTTTACGACTTAGTAAGCCTGGAAATCAGAATATATTGCCTGCTGAAAACCTCTATATATACCAAAATCAGTAGTCAGCATGCAATGTGTTAATCAACTCTATATCCCAGTCTTACAATGTATATCATTAAAGTAAGATTATAAGATTATAATAATTTGAATGTTGAAGGTATGATGACCTGTGGTGTGGTGTCAGGCTCTAGTTATCTTTTGTAAAGATGAGAGATAGTAATTTGATGATAATTTCAAAATTGTACACCCATATTTTCAAATGAATGGTATGTGTATTTTGTAGGTAATCTCACCAGGAGTGACAGAAGAAATAGAAGCTGTATCATTATCTCATTTAGTGGAGCTCAGTGTAGTTGCTCCTGCTGGCCAAGACGCTGTAGGAGATGATATGAGGTCATTTGCAGAACATCTTAAACCGTATCCTTTTTCTGTACCAAACAGTTCAAGAATTAGCACATAGGGGTACATACCTCTCAGTAACTAAAGGTTGTACACGACCACAATAATAATGCTCTAGCTTCTCACAACTAAAATAAATGGAAGGCTGTTTAAATAAATTTAGTGTCTTTATTATACTTTTGTTATGACTAGTAGATATATAATGTACCTTCCATCTGTAGGACATATAGTAGTTAACATTTCCAAATGAGCAGTTCTCATAATTATAGATTTTTGATTGTTTTAATTTGAAAGATACATAAGCTTTGTTTTTTGACAATTTTTTCATGTTTATAAATCTAGATAAAATGACTGTTGTGCTATGTGAACACACATTAGCATAGATTTATTTTTATTTTGAGACTTGCAGTTAGCAATTTTCAAAATTCTACTTCGGTACAAATATCAAAGAGGTGCTACACAACTAATCATATCAACTCGTATTTTCCTTTATTTAACTTTTATCTGTAGAATTGTACAAATGGAGAAGATGGATCCCAAAAGACTATAATTTTGCATTTTTATTTTAATATATTTTTATGCAACACTGCCATTGTACTTCAGATTCCAATATTATAAAATATTAAAATAAAATCTTTCATAATTTATTGTGTATGTACATCATCAGTAGTTGTTTGTCAGCAAAATTTAGTTGAAAGCCATATGCATTTCAATACTAATTTCAGTACTAATTTCAGTAATTTGTTGGCATTCGCCAGATATTTCAATTAAACTTGACATATTGCACTATATATAGGCCATATACAAGTTATATGTATTTATCGTCTTCTGACAATCCTGTCATGCATTTCTGATTCAAATTCTAACCCAATGTAACTAAGCTAGGAAGTATGTAACATTTGATGTTTATTCAGACTGCAAGTCGCTGAAAATGACACAGTCCCAGTTTAAACTGTTCAGATTGTTTTTCAATATTAACTAACATTAATTTAACAGCATATAAACAATGTAGAATTTTTTAATTACAGGTAATTATAAATCAAATTTTATTCTCCAGACATTTTTGTGTCTAAAATGGCAGTTAATTAACATTTAATTGAATCATAAAATACCGTAACGTGCATATTGTATATTTACCATCTCTGATTGAAATCTATCAAAGCATATGTGAGATTGTGTGTCGCATGTACAGTATGGTCCCTACAATGCATAATGTCAATGACTAACAAGGTGGAATCATGTGCAAACTAATTGCTGGTATATATATGAACATTAGCCTTCTTTACTGAAAAATACATTTGCATGGGGCATGGTCACAAAGTGAATGTTTTACGAGAGGACTGTATTATTCAAAAACAGGGGTTTTGGCATTTTGACCACTAAAGGGCATGCTCATCACACAACTTTGCTGAAATTTAAAATAAAATACTACTCTTACAACATGCAGACATTAGTATTTGATCCGGTTTGGGATGATATTTTTTAAATATATTATTCACATTTCTCCCTTATTCTCTTGCATTATGCCATATCTCCACCCACACCCCCACAAAATCCTCCAAGCCAACCAACTTTTTAAATGGAGAGTCCCCTAGCTATTTTGAACTCATTCCAGTACTTGAAAGGAATGGTAAATATTGGAATCAATATCTGCTAGTATAATCTTGTATCGTGTTTATCCCTCTCTCCATATATGGAGGTAAGTAAGCTGGAACAATCTTGATAATTGTAATCTGCACAACTCAATGCTATTTTTGTTCATAAAATTGAGTGATTAGTTAAAACCCGTTATTCTACAGTTCCTTTGTTTGTATGGTAAAAACTACCAAATAAAAGGCAACAGGACATCCTGTGTTGTGTCTAACTGCACACCTCCCTTAACATGCATGCTTTATTTTAAGCACATCTCCAAAAGTTTTGATGAGATTTGAAGAACTCCAAACTCAAATCTATTCATAATAACAGCAAATATTGATGTTTATGTTAGAAAGCAAAATGACCAGTCCTGTGAAATACCAAGACAATTTTATGCTAGCACTACCACGACTTACTGAAATTTGACAAATAACGAGGCAATACTCTGATTAAACAACATTGCATTATATTATATATACATTTTCCATATAACAATCCAGTATGTACAGTACATGTAATAGCACATGAAATTTACATTATTATTCACTACTAAAACATACTAACAAAGGAATAGTAATTTGCAGAGTTTCTACTTTGGGATATATCATGAAGAACAGATTGATATTATACCTCAATTTTAATGACATTACTGTCATAAAAACAAAAGCACTTGATAGAGGGCAATATTCCTTCAAACTGATCTTTTATGGCAGTAGAATCAACAAGAATACAAAAATCACGAGATATCAACACATTATCTGGTCATTTGTAAAATAATACAATAGAAATATTGGCTTTTGTTCTAATATTTACTGAATTTTACATTTCAAATTAAATTCTCAAGATATTCTACAACAACAGTTTAAAATGTAAAACCATATATGGAAAATGAAAAAAAAAAAGAGGTAGAAAAGGTTAATATATAATAGTTACAACACAAGGTTGTAAAATGTAAATCGTTTACTGACCTTTAGAAAACTACTTTAATACACAAGTTTTGACAAGAAATGATAACTGCTACTCATTTTGACAAGTGGCAGAAACCCTGAAAGCTCAAACCTGGTATTGGTGTAGAATAGATATATAATACATTATGTAGCACATACTACACTACAACACTATTTACTTGACAATCATTAAAACTAAGAATTACATTTATTAAAATTACTCATTTGACAAAATATTAAGCTGTATACCTCTCTCTCAAAAAAAAACTTTCATGCAGTAGCCTTCTACTACACGTGTATTATTTATAATTTAATTTGCATAAAATTTGACAATTCAAAAAAAATACCAGAGTTGTGGCTGCTTGCTGGCAGTGAGTTGCATAACTGAAAGTACTGGAATATAAACTGACCACATAGTCTATCTAATTTACCGGTATATATTGAATTGTAAGTATCTGAATTAAACACCCCCATCATCTTAGATGTGTGTCTGATTTGAACCAACTCAACTCAGTGATGCTAATTTTCACAAGAAAAATAATATGGGCGAAAGTTTAACCCCCAAAAAATGTTGGCCAAATTTTGGTATTGAGTGGAGAATTATTACAATTATTTTCTACTACCGTATATATCATATTTATCGGTCCAGCAGCATTTATTTATTAACCTTTTATAAACCACTAAATATATGTAGATATCTATCATTTAGGTACAAATGAATATTCATTACATATAGATCATATTAATAAAAAGCATAATCCCAAAATTCCTCATTTTGTGATACTTTTTGTATTCCCCCTAAACATCTTTATTCAATCCCATGATCTTCGAATCAAAGCATAAAAATGAGTCAATATTGCCATTTAAGTATAATTTTTAGATAAAGATATCTTATTGCATAAAAAAAACCCACTTAATTCATAGTGACTATGGACAGGAGTTTATCA